GGCCGCTCAGTGCCTTGGCCGCGCGCGCGGGGGAGGAGGCGTCGAGCGGAAACCGGCATGGGGTGCTGCAGAGGGGCAGCTTGTCAGCGCTCTGCTTGGGTTTCAGGGCTTGACCCTTCGGGTTATTTTGAGGGACCCAGTTCCCAGATCGCGATTTCTTTCATTGCTCCCCACCAAAAAAACAACTGAGTGGACAGTTTTACAGTTCGCTTTACTCCCTTCCTGCCCCGAGCTTGATGAGCTAAAAGAACCCTTTTCCTGCTGCTAGGGGAGATTTATATTCAAAGAGATTCAAATTCAAACGTATTATTTTTCCAGTCCTCGCTGAAAGGGCTTTTCCCAGGGGCTCTTATTAACTGTCCCCACCCCCACCTTGGGGATTGTCTCGCTATGCATTTCAGAATCTTCTATCCCAAGATAAATACTTCTTCATTGATTAATCCAACTACCATCTGGATGACTTTAATTACAATAAATTTAAACTCACTAAGCATTCTGTGTTGCGGTTTTTTGCTCGAGATTTGAAACCTCAGCAGTACTCCACCCATTTCCTATCTGACTTCCAAGCTGTTTGGTATGGGGTGATTTAATGACTGAAGCTCTTCTGTTGTGTATCAGAGTTGTGTTTCTTTTCCCGAGTAGTGAAATTAAGGGATCATAGAAATCGTTTGGCCCTTAAACCATAAATTGAAAGTTAAAATAACAGCAAAGTTTAATGACCACCTCCCTTTAAAAATCAATATTGGTTTAACACCTATTATGTGCTTAACACAGAAATCTATCCCTCAAGATAAGCCTAGCATAAAGGTTCAAGTAAATTAGACAAGGGTAGTGGAAGACGTAATATACTTGATACACTATCTTTGATGACCATTCAAAAAGCAGTTTAAACTTTAGCAATACAGTACCTGGTAAAAGATCTGCTATTCCTTCCGAGGTTAATTTTGTTCGGAAAGATTGTTTTCCTCCTGGTGCCTACATCCTTTTGTTCCTATTCCTTTTTTTTTTTTGTAAACCCCTCTGCACCTGTGATGCTTGCTTGGCGCCTGCTCCCTCAGTGGGGAAGCAAAGTAAGTAGTCGTTATTTACAAATGAATTCAAACGTGTGGACACCAGTGACCTTGCCAATTTTATGCTAATTACAGTATGTATTTACTAAGGATATCGTTGAAAAGTGATTTTCCTTGGGGAAAGAGTGCCAGATCTTAGATCCTGCAGAGAAATAACATGAATCTTTTTTACATTTACCTTTCTTCCTTCAGACTGGGAATTTGGACTCTAAATAAAATGTTATCACAACTAGCTACTTATAAGCACTTTGGTGAGCACTAAAGTTTTGTCTCTACAGAGAGTGTAGGAAATGAAGCACCATGCTATAAATGTTTTATAGCTCATAGTTTGAGATACCTGCAACTAATACTCAAAGTGAGTGATGCAGGCAATACCAAACAAGTGACAATAAAATTTTTATAGTCCCTCACACCATTATGTAGTTTATTTATGCCATATATATCAGGGAAAAGATATTAAGGGAAAATTATAGTGAGTAGTATTAAATAATATTGCCCTGTCACCATATGTTCCTTTGCCCATTAAATGAAATTTCTTTAGTTTGCCCTAAAAGCAATGCAAGTATATTCCCAAATGTTCATTTCTGAATAACATTATTAAATCTCTTTAAATATTTTTAATAGATAAAATTGTATACATTGATGGGGTATAATGTGATGTTTTGATATATGTAATTAATTTGTTTAAAACTACAGTCATGGCTGGAGATGTAGCTCAGTGGTAGTTTGCTTAACATGTGCAAGGCCCTGGGTTCAATCCCCTTCACTCCAAAAATAAATAAATAAATTAATTAATTAAAAATTGTGCAGCCTGATCCCCAGCATCTCAAAAGAAAAAATCTTGTGCAACCTATGTACAGTTAGTTGTTCATTCTAAAGAATCTCTTCTGCCCTACAGGACATATATTCCCAATCCTGCAAACGTTTTCATGATCTCTCTCAGATCATTCCCAACCAAGCGGCTTCAAATCTGATCTAGGGAGTATCAAAAGTTTATTGTTGTTATTCTTGTTTTAAGTGAAAACAACGTGTGTCCCTTCTTCGCCTGTGGAACTCCTGCTCATCTTTCAAGATTCAAATAAAACAATACATATTTCACGACATTTCCCAAACGCTCCCAGGCAAAATCAATTTCTTCCTTTTCATTTGCTCTATGGTGCTTGATTCTAGTTCCTACCGTATTAGCAATATTATTTTGCATGGTAATTAGTTGTGTATCTGCCTTTTTCCTCCATAGATCATAGGTTTCACAAAGGCAGGGATCCATTTAGTTTATCCTTGTATCTCCATCACTCAGTATCACCTGCCCCTCGTATCTCCTGCCAGTGTATGTTGGGTCCTATGTACACGTTTGTTGAATGAAAAAAGACACAAGCTATTTTAAAAATACTTATTCAAGCCAGGCATAGTGGAGCACAGTAACACTTGTGTTCTGGAGGCTGAAGCAGGAGGATTACAAATTCAAACCCAGCCTGGTGATTTAGAGACTCAGCAAAATTTTGCCTCAAAATAAAAAATGAAAGTAAATATATAAAGGCTGGGGATATAGCTCAATAGTAGGGCTCTAGGTTCAAACTCCAGTATCATTAAAAAAAAAAAGAAAGAAAGAAAAAGAAACTTATTCACAAATTCCACTTAATTATTTACATCTTTCTTCCTTTAAACAACCATTTTTTCCTGTTATTGTTTTCGGTTTTTTGGTTTTTTGAAACAGCATCTCACCAAATAGTTAAGGCTGGCTTTAAATTCAATATGTAGCCCATGCTGGTCTCCAACTCATTGCAATATTCCTGCCTTGGTCTCCCAAGTGCTGGGATTTAAGGTGTGCGCCACCACACCTGGCTTGGAGCCAAATTCTTTTTTTTTTTTTTAGACAGAGTCTTGCCAAGTCACTAAATTATCCAGACCGGATTTGAATTTGAGATCCTCCTGCTTCAGCCTCCCAGATTAAAAAAGCATTATTTAGCTGGGCGTCGTGGCGCATGCCTGTAATCCCAGCACTTGGGATGCTGAGGCCAGAAGATCATTGTGAGTTTGAGACCAGCCTGGGCTACATAGTGAATTCCAGGTCATTCTCAACTACATAGTGAGACCCTGTCTCAAAAAACAAATAAATAAATAAATAAATAAGCATTATTTCTATCTCAATCCTATAATTAAGAAAGCAGGGTTTCTTCCTTTCTCACTCCTGTCTCCCATGTGCTTTGGAATTTATTGTCTAAAGTTAAGTGATACCTTACAATATGCCACAAGGGGTTTGGGGATATAGTTCAGTGGTAGAGTGTTTTTGCCTATACAAGGTCCTGGGTTTGATACACTCTTCCCCTGCACTGAAAAAAAATGTGCATGTGTGTGTGTGTAGCATGTATATTTAACATATATTGTACATATTATATATATATATATATATATATATATATATATATATACACACATATATATGTCCATGAACAATCTCCCATATTTCCCACCCTATTACCATTCCTTTAAAAAATGAAAATTTCATTTGATAGGAAGCTTGGACATAGAACTAGTTGTTCTTACTTTAATGTTGTAGTTAAGGAAACAGGCTCATTGTTTCATGACTTGCTCTAAGGTGATGAAAGGAATCTGTTGTGGGAAAGAGCAGTGGATCTCCAACTCCACTGAGGTGTTCATTAGTTTAGTAGGAAGTGCAGAATCTGATGTTGACTAGAAATTCAGTTAACAAATCTATACATTTATTTATGTGTTACAAAT